GTTCTTTATCCACCGAGCGGTGTATTGCCTGTAATATGCACTCCTTATATTACAGATTTTATTTATATTTGTATTATTACACATTTATCCACCATCTATCTCTTGTGTTCTGGGTAACTCCTTAGGAATCAACTGATTACCAAGCACAACCATCCGAGATCAGACAGTATTTCCTGCAACATTTTATGGTAAAAATAATTTGAGACTCACAGCTGAGACCTCTGCGAACACACTGAACAAGTGTGTTCCATTCTGAATGAAGTTGTCCTTCGAGAGTCGTAAGAAGAAAATCTGGTCTAAGCGTAGATTCAGAAACTCTTTATTACTGGAACCGTGAAGTGAGACAAACGGATGCAGCACAAGCTGGATTAACGCCATCGCCTGGTACGTTTAGGTACATGCATGCGGAGAGCACAGCCAGTTACAGACAGCATCCCAGAGAACCAAGCCTGCGCTACGCAGGAAATACTCTAAGCTCATGCTACTCGAACAGCTCGGCAGGACAAGCGTTTAATCACCGCAGGGCTTTTATGAACGATGGTGTACGTCCTCCTGCTTCGTGAGCACACTGCCTTCTCCAGAAAGACTGTTCATTTTGCTCCCGTCTGCAGAGACTTCCTTTCATTAGCCGCTTTTTGTTTTTGCTGCATAATTTCAGAGTCTCTGTGAAGAAAAAAAGCTGGATTTCAGATGCTGGCTCACTGTTTTTCTAAGCAGAGTCACCTTCAGCTCATTTTCCAAAGCTATTTAGCAACCCCCGTGTCAATAAGGGACAAAGATCAGCACAAAACTCTTCAGTTGGCGATGACCAGCGTCTGTGTTTTCTCAGTGCAGTACCTCATCAGGTAAAAAAAACTTGATTGGCAGACGTTATGTAATGCATTTCTACAGTTTTTCTTCTAAGTAAAGGACACAGTGGGTCACACACCTCCAACAAACTGTTACACAGCCCTTCCCTGTTCACGCCACGCAAAAAGCTGGCCAAAAGAATTAACAGCTTTCCAGGTCTTACCAAAACGAATCTGTTCAACAGCACGAACAGCAGATCCTACACCCGTGGTGTATGCTCTGGCGTGTGAGCAGACCATGAGTAACAGCGAAGTACTTCAAGGCTATGTCAGCTAAAACACTGGACTTTTTATGGCCCCTTCTCCCTCCTATTTTGCCCAACCTTTTCACGCCACTTTACTAGATCCTACCTCTGTTTTCTCTGAGAAGCAGACAAGCTATCCTCTTTCCTCTTCCCTTTGTGGATCTCCTGTGTCTTCTTCAGGTTCTTCTGACGGGCAAGCTCACGCTGGTTCCCACCTACACGATAACAGGCAGTTTATACAGGTACTACCACTTTTTTTTAACACACAGATTGCCTGCACAGAAATCTATTAATAACGGTGGTAAGGTGTGGCTCAGTCTGTAGAGTTCGCATGGCAGTGTCTTCTGTAGCTGGCACTATCTGCGTCACAGTCTCCCCCACCAGCGCTCAACGGGAGCCAAGAAAGCCTGTTGGTTCTCATATTTACATTTCTACAGGTCATGCCCAAGAGATCAGCAAAACCCATTCCACCATTCCCTCCAGAAACAATGTAGTTTTCCCTCAGACTGAAGGTAGACCATCCCCCAGCCCAGGCAAAAATCACAACTGACCCTCGTGAAGAGGAGCCACCCTCCCTACCTCTGATCCCAGCATCCAGTACAGCTTACAGATTCACCTGGAAGAGCAGCGCTCAAACAAAGGCAGCCCAAGAGGCTTTACAGAACTTCCTCAAACTCTTCCCAAGGCCCTCTTAAGAAATCGAAAAGTAAATGGCTGGAAGTATTTGGAATGTAGAAACATCCACCTGGTTTCAAGTTTGTAAAGCTTGGACAACTAATTGCTTCACACAGGATTCACAGTGTACTGCTGGGCACACATACCCCAGAAACTCAGTGAGCACCACCAAATGCTGAAGCTGGCTTACTCTGGGAGCCACAGAAGCAGAGAAAGCCCCGCACGACACAAGGAGCTGTTCGTAGGGTCAGGGTTAGGTCTGTTTAATTTTTGCTCCAAGGCAGTATGAGGACACAGCAGCTAAGGAACTTCAGCCCAAAACCTGATGTAACTACCGCAGCCCACAGAGCACCCTGCAAAAGTGGGGCTGAGATAGCTAAAGTGACACACCACCAAAACTCCAGTTCCTCATCAAGACGCCCTGTTCAGAATAAAACGACCTACCACCGCCCCGAAACAGGTGAGTGCGTAGGTCCCCGCACAGGGCAGGGAACCCTAATGCCGTTCACACACGAGAGTGCTTTCATGGCACTGAAGGGATTAGCAGACAAGCACTCAGGGAGGTTTCTTCCATGCAGTCATGGCCTTTCTCAGCTCTTTCCCATGCATGCTTTTGAGATTTCACTGTAAACCCACATCTGTATTTTTCAACCTTCCTCATTTTACGTGTTTCTCTATGGAGATGCTCCCTTACCCTGGCAGCAGGGCACAGTGAAGAGTTGTTATACCTACTTGGTTTGAATGTTAGTCCATTCACTTAATTACACTCAACTATTACTAAATAGGTGACCTCAAAAGATGTTTTTATTTGAAATCCAGCACAGCACTTAAGAATGGCCTTACAAGTACTGAGCCTCACTTTCAACTGAAGTGAGAAGAATAACGTCACACATATGTATGTGACACAAAACCGCATCACTGCTGCCAGTACAGAGGATACCTCTTCAGGGGACTGCCAGCTTGCCCCAGGGCTACAAACCCCCTGACCCGCTGGCAAGTTAGGCATGCAGTATTTTTGACCAGACAACATTCCTGAGGGCACGATGTGAAAAAACAGCACAACACACCTGCTGCTCAGAGCAGATGCAACTCCATCTGAACCACAGCATCATGGAATGGTTTGTACTGGATCTTAAAGCCCACCCAGCCCCACCCCCTGCCATGGGCAGGGACAGCTTCCACTAGACCAGGTTGCTCCAAGCCTCATCCAGCCTGGCCTTGGACATTTCCAGGGATGGGGCATCCACAGCTTCTCTGGGAACCTGTCCCAGTGCTCCCCACCCTCTGTGGGAAGAATTCCTCCCTGATGTCCCATCTCCATCTCCCTCTTCCCGTTTAAACCCGTTACCCCTTGTCCTGTCATTACAGGCCCTTGGAAAAACAAAAACCCCAGCTTTCCTTGGGCAACTAGCTGTTCTACTTCAGTTCCTGAACAAGTATCAAGTTTTAATCAACACCAGTGCTACCAGATGGATGGCTTAGGAGCAGGTGACACATTCCAGGCTATAAATGGTTCTTCTGTGGTGCTCGGGAGGCATGAATGTCATGGGAACAAGCAGGCAGCAATGAAACAGCTCTTCCGTGGCGCTTAAAGAATCTTCCTTTATCATAAAGAAAACGAGGCAGGACATCAAAACACACTGCTGCAGTCAGGATTCATACAGCAGATATTCCGCACGCCTACCCTTATGCACTCCCCTCCTTTGCAAACAAACATGTGCTTGGTCCACGCAGTTATGCCATACACACAGTAAGACTTCAGAACCAAATGGAAGAGCAAAACTGAAAAGCTCAGCAGCCACTGCTGCAGGGCAAAGCAGAGCGGGCAGAAGGGTAGAGCGATACAGTATGCACGCAGGGCATACGGAGCCAAACACCTATTCAGAAAGAAACTTACTTGTACCATCCCTGCTTCCAGGGAAGTATTACCAAGGACTGTTTGGCCTCAGCACTTCCATGGGATGCTGAACGAGTATCCCCAGCTCCAAGGGAGATGCTGCTGTTTTCTACAATCTGTTAGATTAACCTAAATCTCCCATGAAGTGTGGTCCAGTCCTGACAGAAGACAATTCATCGTCCTGTAATCTGAAATTCAAGCATGAACTGACGGCCTAGAAAGCCAACCGTATCCTG